CATTCCAAATGTCAAGTTTGACTGATGTCATGCCAAAATGTCAAATTTGACAGTTGAAATTATGTATGAACTAAAGTGGCTATCAGTGACTGTCAAAGACTACTGGGATATGATCCTGTGAGTGATATTTCACTGTGGACTCATGCTTGCTTCAACCCCGCGGAGCTGTTTCATATATCTCGCCAGGCAAACAGGTGCTGGGCAGACAAAGCTGTAGGTTACCTTGACATTGTACATATCTCTCTACGTATGGCTTCATATGGTTTATTAGTATGACTGATCAAAAAAGGTCTGATATTAAAAGGGGGAAAAACAAAAAAACATTTTGAGCTTCCGCTGTTTTACAAAAAAATCCCAAGATTTTAATCAGAGATTAAATGAGGAACCATGCACATAATACCTTTACTCTCTTGTTTCTTGCCAAGTTGAAACAAAAAATTACTGGATTTCTTGGGAAAACCTACATTGAAAATCAGGCACAACATTTCATTTTGTTAACTACTAGTAGCATGTGCAATGCTTAAATAACCAAACATGATTCCTGGTTAAACTTAGCTATTTGACATTTGACTTTATAATGCCGTACCTAACTGGAAATCCAGTTTGGCCCACAGATCAAACAATTATAGGATGAAATAACAAAAGAGTGCAAGTTATTGATGATGTCTAGTCAGCAATGTTACAGCTATATATAGCTATGTCACACCTCAACATTACTGAAGGGCACCCTGAAATACCATTGCAGCAAAATCTGAACATGTCACAAATACATATTTCACAAATACACTGACCATGGCAGTTGGCAATATTGTTTCAAATCAAACTGTTTCACATGTTTATTTACAGATTCACATAACGTACATAAAAATGAATGTTGGACAGAAGCCAACCAACAGTTTTCAACTATAGTCCATACTCCAACAGTTTGCAGTTGTATGCAGGAAGCATAGTTTAGAGAAACGGCACAATGATGTGCATATTCTATTTGAGAATGTAATTTTCAATGCACAAGATTGCAAAGAAACAAGCTCTTGTGACTCTTTTTCATTTGTAAACAGAATGCAGTTTCTGAGCATGTCCGCTGCGAATAGCTGCAACAAAGCTGAAGCAGCGTTAAGCAATATTTACTCACTCGCTTTGGGTGGACATTAGTTTATCACTCACTCGCTTTGGGTGGACATTAGTTCACCACTTACTCACTTTGGGTGGACATTAGTTTACCACTCACTCAGTTTGGACATTACTTACACTTCACTTTGGGTGGACATTAAATTACTACTCACCTCGCTTTGGGTGGACATTAGTTCACCACACACTCGCTTTGTGGACATTAGTTTACCACTTACACTCGCTTTGGGTGGACATTAGTTACCACCACCACATTAGTTTACCACTCACTCGCTTTGGGTGGACATTAGTTTACCACTCACTCGCTTTGGGAGGACATTAGTTCACCACTAACTCACTTTGGGTGGACATTAGTTTACCACTCACTCGCTTTGGGTGGACATTAGTTTACCACTCACTCGCTTTGGGTGGACATTAGTTTACCACTCACTCACTTTGGGTGGACATTAGTTTACCACTCACTCACTTTGGGTGGACATTAGTTTACCACTCACTCGCTGTGGGTGGACATTAGTTTACCACTCACTCGCTTTGGGTGGACATTAGTTTACCACTCACTCGCTGTGGGTGGACATTAGTTTACCACTCACTCGCTTTGGGTGGACATTAGTTTACCACTCACTCGCTTTGGGTGGACATTAGTTTACCACTCACCACCGCTTTGGGTGGACATTAGTTTACCACTCACTCACTTTGGGTGGACATTAGTTTACCACTCACCACTTTGGGAGGACATTAGTTTACCACTCACTTCGCTTTGGGTGGACATTAGTTTACCACTCACTTCGCTTTGGGTGGACATTAGTTCACCACTCACTCACTTTGGGTGGACATTAGTTTACCACTCACTCACTTTGGGAGGACATTAGTTTACCACTCACTTCGCTTTGGGAGGACATTAGTTTACCATCACTTTCGCTTTGGGTGGACATTACCACCACTCACTCACTTTGGGGAGGACATTAGTTTACCACTCACTTTCGCTTTGGGAGGACATTAGTTTACCACTCACTCGCTGTGGGTGGACATTAGTTTACCACTCACTCGCTTTGGGTGGACATTAGTTTACCACTCACTCACTTTGGGAGGACATTAGTTTACCACTCACTCACTTTGGGTGGACATTAGTTTACCACTCACTCGCTTTGGGTGGACATTAGTTTACCACTCACTCACTTTTGGTGGACATTAGTTTACCACTCACTCGCTTTGGGTGGACATTAGTTTACCACTCACTCGCTTTGGGTGGACATTAGTTTACCACTCACTCGCTTTGGGTGGACATTAGTTTACCACTCACTCACTTTGGGTGGACATTAGTTTACCACTCACTCACTTTGGGTGGACATTAGTTTACCACTCACTCGCTTTGGGTGGACATTAGTTTACCACTCACTCACTTTGGGTGGACATTAGTTTACCACTCACTCGCTTTGGGTGGACATTAGTTTACCACTCACTCACTTTGGGTGGACATTAGTTTACCACCACCGGCTTTGGGTGGACATTAGTTTACCACTCACTCGCTTTGGGTGGACATTAGTTCACCACTCACTCGCTTTGGGTGGACATTAGTTTACCACTCACTCGCTTTGGGTGGACATTAGTTTACCACTCACTCGCTTTGGGTGGACATTAGTTTACCACTCACTCGCTTTGGGTGGACATTAGTTTACCACTCACTTTACCACGCTTTGGCTTTGGGTGGACATTAGTTACCACCACTCACCGCTTTGGGTGGACATTAGTTTACCACTCACTCACTTTGGGTGGACATTAGTTTACCACTCACTCACTTTGGGTGGACATTAGTTTACCACTCACTCGCTTTGGGTGGACATTAGTTTACCACTCACTCGCTTTGGGTGGACATTAGTTTACCACTCACTCGCTTTGGGTGGACATTAGTTTACCACTCACTCGCTTTGGGTGGACATTAGTTTACCACTCACTCACTTTGGGTGGACATTAGTTTACCACTCACTCACTTTGGGTGGACATTAGTTTACCACTCACTCGCTTTGGGTGGACATTAGTTTACCACTCACTCACTTTGGGTGGACATTAGTTTACCACTCACTCGCTTTGGGTGGACATTGGTTTACCACTCACTCCTTTGGGTGGACATTAGTTTACCACTCACTCACTTTGGGTGGACATTAGTTTACCACTCACTCGCTTTGGGTGGACATTAGTTCACCACTCACTCGCTTTGGGTGGACATTAGTTTACCACTCACTCGCTTTGGGTGGACATTAGTTTACCACTCACTCGCTTTGGGTGGACATTAGTTCACCACTCACTCGCTTTGGGTGGACATTAGTTCACCACTCACTCGCTTTGGGTGGACATTAGTTTACCACTCACTCGCTTTGGGTGGACATTAGTTCACCACTCACTCACTTTGGGTGGACATTAGTTTACCACTCACTCACTTTGGGTGGACATTAGTTTACCACTCACTGCGCTTTGGGTGGACATTAGTTTTCAGCTTTGGGTGGACATTAGTTAGTTTACCACTCACTTTCGCTTTGGGTGGACATTAGTTCACCACTCACTCGGCTTTGGGTGGACATTAGTTCACCACTGGACATTAGTTTACCACCACTTTCGCTTTGGGTGGACATTAGTTTACCACTCACTCACTTTGGGTGGACATTAGTTTACCACTCACTTGCTTTGGGTGGACATTAGTTTACCACTCACTCGCTTTGGGTGGACATTAGTTTACCACTCACTCGCTTTGGGTGGACATTAGTTTATCACTCACTCGCTTTGGGTGGACATTAGTTTACCACTCACTCGCTTTGGGTGGACATTAGTTTACCACTCACTCGCTTTGGGTGGACATTAGTTCACCACTCACTCACTTTGGGTGGACTTTAGTTTACCACTAACTCATTTGGGTGGACATACGTTTACCACTCACTCACTTTGGGTGGACATCAGTTCACCACTCACTTGCTCTCGGTGGACATTAGTTCACCACTCACTCACTTTGGGTGGACATTAGTTCACCACTCACTCGCTTTGGGTGGACATACGTTTACCACTCACTCGCTTTGGGTGGACATTAGTTCACCACTCACTCGCTTTGGGTGGACATTAGTTTACCACTCACTTGCTTTGGGTGGACATTAGTTTACCACTCACTCGCTGTGGGTGGACATCAGTTCACCACTCACTTGGGTGGACATTAGTTTACCACTCACTCACTTTGGGTGGACATTAGTTCACCACTCACTTTGGGTGGACATTAGTTTACCACTCACTCACTTTGGGTGGACATCAGTTCACCACCACTCGGTGGACATTAGTTCACCACTTCGCTTTGGGTGGACATTAGTTCACCACTCACTCGCTTTGGGTGGACATACGTTCACCACTCGCTTTGGGTGGACATTAGTTCACCACTCACGCTTTGGGTGGACATTAGTTTACCACTCACTTGCTTTGGGTGGACATTAGTTTACCACTCACTCGCTGTGGGTGGACATTAGTTTACCACTTACTCACTTTGGGTGGACATTAGTTTACCACTCACTCGCTTTGGGTGGACATTAGTTCACCACTCACTCGCTTTGGGTGGACATTAGGGCTTTGGGTGGACATTAGTTTACCACTCACTCGCTTTGGGTGGACATTAGTTTACCACTCACTCGCTTTGGGTGGACATTAGTTTACCACTCACTCGCTTTTGGTGGACATTAGTTTACCACTCACTCACTTTGGGTGGACATTAGTTTACCACATAATTTGAATTGGACATTTTTTTAAGTTGGATATGGTCCTCGGAGTCTCAAACCAGTCCCACATGACTTTTCAGACCATATCCTACACATACACTTCTGTATGATGAAAAGGGCACTTACAATGGTGACAATACTGCAGTAGAGGAACTCGAACACTTTCAGCCCTGTGTTATCACTCTGTGGAGGACTGGACAGCGTGGCACTGAAACGATAATGTTTTTTACAATATCAATATACTGACACCAACACAACAACGACCAGGGTCACGATCCACAAAGCATTCGTAGCGCTATGACATTCGTAAGCCTATGGCAAGCTGTAGAGTTACCACAGGTCAACATTACGATTGCCTTGTGGATCAGAACCCAGATCATAATGTAACCAACATAACTCGGCACCAACTATTTCATATTTGAGTCAGCAGCAAGGTGTTTGCTGAGACTTTTGCAAAAAGAATTTGGTTTACAGAAGAGAATGGCATGTTTTGAAGCAGTGCTAAAAAATCTGACATGCATCATGGTACATATTATGTTGAACATTGTTTTTATACCAACAACATTATTTGCTTGAGTCCTGCTAACACAAAGAACTGGATACAGCTTGATGAAAAAATGATTTGTGAATTGAAAGCTGAAGAGGAACAAAATATGATATTGAACTGATAATTGTCTCGCTATACAACATGACAGCTAGATCCAAAAGTGATAGGTTATCATCATCATCATCATCATCATCATCATCATCATCTGTACTTACTATGCGTACACCATGAACGCTGACCCCCATATCATGGGCAGCTCATCCAGGAGCTGTAACAGAGACAGAGGAGCTGAACACATACATACTTCACAATGGAAGGCGACCATCCATCGTCATGAACAAGACATTGGGAGGAGCATGGTACATGGGCAGCAGCACTCTGTTGGTCAGTTATATGGTCAGAGTGGTAGCCTAGCCAGATAATGATTTACCCACCAAATGCTTATGTTGGTTGCAGAGAATGAAAATATACATTCAGTAAGTTTCAACCATGTTAACTTCAGTCTGAGTCAACGTCTGTTAATTTGGTGGAAGGATAGGCTATAGGAACTTTAGATACTTATGACAATATGATGTATTTAGATACCATTTGAGAAAATCAGTTTTTATGACAGCACAGTAACAAGATATATTAGGGTTATGAGAGAAACTGTCTCATATACTGACCTGCTTGCAATCTAATGTCCATACTCACTATCATTTTCATGGATACCAGAGGCATGCCAAACACGAAATAAACAAATGCAAGGTTTGCAAATCTCCTTTCAGATGAAAATTATAATCTTTTGGTACAATTAATATAGTCAATACTTTCAAAAATTGCACTCATGGATTTATTGATTCTCAAGCATTGACAGGCTAGTTCAGAATAAATCGTTTTCTCTTAAAATAAAGTGATGTCATACACCTGGTAAGGACTTTGTCACTTAATACCACAGTCCAAAACATTCCAGGCATTTCAGGATGACCTGTCACCAACAGAGACCTGGCAACCAAAAACATTCCAGGCATTTCAGAATGACCTGTCACTAACAGAGACCTGGCAACCAAAAACATTCCAGGCATTTCAGGATGACCTGTCACTGACAGAGACCAGGATGACCTGTCACTAACAGAGACCAGAATGACCTGTCACTAACAGAGACCTGGCAACCAAAAACATTCCAGGCATTTCAGCATGACCTGTCACTAACAGAGACCATGATGACCTGTCACTAACAGAGACCAGGATGACCTGTCACTAACAGAGACCAGAATGACCTGTCACTAACAGAGACCTGGCAACCAAAAACATTCCAGGCATTTCAGCATGACCTGTCACTAACAGAGACCAGGATGACCTGTCACTAACAGAGACCAGAATGACCTGTCACTAACAGAGACCTGGCAACCAAAAACATTCCAGGCATTTCAGGATGACCTGTCACTAACAGAGACCAGGATGACCTGTCACTAACAGAGACCTGGCAACCAAAAACTTTCCAGGCATTTCAGCATGACCTGTCACTAACAGAGACCAGGATGACCTGTCACTAACAGAGACCAGGATGACCTGTCACTAACAGAGACCAGAATGACCTGTCACTAACAGAGACCTGGCAACCAAAAACATTCCAGGCATTTCAGGATGACCTGTCACTAACAGAGACCAGGATGACCTGTCACTAACAGAGACCAGGATGACCTGTCACTAACAGAGACCAGAATGACCTGTCACTAACAGAGACCTGGCAACCAAAAACATTCCAGGCATTTCAGCATGACCTGTCACTAACAGAGACCAGGATGACCTGTCACTAACAGAGACCTGGCAACCAAAAACAGTTGTTGTAAACCTAAGCAATATTATTTCATATCCTTACTTCCAATCAATACGATTTCAGTGACTTTTGCTTGATCACTGCTCTAAACAGTATACCAGTCATATGCCAGCTTAATGGGGAGGGATATTACAAGTGTAATGGAGGCGCCAGACATTTACCATTTTGGCGAAACCCTACAAACCTTGAAACAAAATCAGGGCACACGGAGATTTAAACCCACAATGATAAGTTTCTGACTTGCCTAAGGGTTGCAACTCTGCACAGTAAACTGCAGTGCTTGTGACTAATGAGTTACCCATGCCCCAAACATGACTCCAGAATAAGTGAGTGACTGTGGTTTTACGCCGCTTTTAGCAATATTCCAGCAATATCACGGCGGGGAACACCAGAAATTGGCTTCACACACTGTACCCATGTGGGGAATCGAACCCGGGTCTTTGGCGTGACGAGCAAACACTTTAATCACTAGGCTACCCCACCAGCCCCACATGACTTCAGAAGAACCACTGAATGACTAAAAGGACATCTTGAAGTTCCTCAATCTTTACAACTCCACCTGACAATGGTGCAGGCTGCCCTACTTGATGGACACAATCTAACTGCGATGTTCATGCAATGATTATCTGTCCTTTGTGAATGAATTATGTCTGCAACAGTCGAGGACATCTTTCTTCAGCCGGGACATATAATCCATAAGCCTCCTGACTCGGTGATTACATGAACAGCCGTATATAGACAGCATGTAGGTCGGGCCTGCAGAGTTGGGTAATAAGCAAGGCATTCACTGATTAGATGTTGGGTGTGGGAACACGTGACCAATAGGTGAAGCAAAATAAAGGCTTACTTGCATGCTATATAGAAGTGTCATGTGGAAAAACCAAGATCCAATACCAACGACTGAAAAACAAAAAAAACAGCTCTCAGCAGGTGACACTTTTCATTAAGAAAGTCATTATGTGGAATATGATATTTACCTGTTGATATTTTCACAGGGAGAAATGACTCACTTCGCCAGAACATCACCCAGGTCAGACTGATGGGTATCTTACCTTTTCACACTATGATCTCAGTAAGAAAATACATGATTGTTTTATTCATCAAGTATGTCAGTGACATTTTCAATGTCTTGTCTCATGGAAACACAAAGTTGATACTTTAGTGAGTGGTGTCGACATGAGCAAAAATGACAAATAGAACTTAAGTCACTACATGTCAGACGTCAATATATTAAGTCGAACATATTGTACTAACTGTGAATAATTTTTCATCCAAATGTTATAAAAATTACCCAGAATATACCTTTTATTGCAAAAGCAGCTACCGTATATGCTGTACACAGCACCCCCTGACCACCTTGTAGAAGGGTCTGCAAGTACTTCTCTAAAGTGTATTTTCTGGTGAAAACTACAGCTATGTAAAACAAAACCAACAGGGTAGAATGCTAAATAGAAGCCTAATACTGTCATTAAAGGTTTTAGATTCACTGACATTTCATTTTTTTCTCGACCTCTCAATCTAATATAAACTCACTTTAGCATTTTTCATCATTTGTTCATCATGTTCATGTGCCTGAGGTATTTATTATGGCAAATACAGTAAATACAAACAGTTTAACCAATTGGAATGGACTGAACACAGTGTCAGTATATATCTAGATCAGCTGTCTGACATTTCTGTGCTATACATGGAAGTAGTCATTGGCTGGCATACAAAGGCTAGCAATGATTTATATCTGCATGCAGGGAATCAAACACTGTGGATATGGCAGAAAGAAATTATTTATTTATTTGACTGCCAACAGATAAATGTAGTGCATATGTTGACTATAATGATTATATTGATAAACAGCATACTCAGGTAGCTGACGGTGCATTTCATATTTAATCAATATGCTTGTTAATAACATTTGCAGTATCATACAACTGCAAGAAAATGCATTCATGTGAGTGAGTGAGTGAGTGAGAGAGTGAGTTTTAGTCTTACGCTGCACTCAGCAATATTCCAGCTATATGGCGGCGGTCTGTAAGTAATCAAGTCTGGACCAGACAATCCAGTGATCAGCAGCATGAGCATCGATCTACGCAGTGACATGTGTCAACCAAGTCAGCAAGCCTGACCACCCGATCCCGTTAGTCGCCTCTTACGACAAGCATGGGTTACTGAAGATCAATTCTAACCCGGATCTTCACGGGTTGCATGATGGAGAACATGCAGCTTAGTGTGAGAGTCAGTCAGCAATGTTCCAGCTATATGACAGTAAGTCAGGCAAAGCTGTTACCGACAGTATCCGCAGCAATCCATGTCACCCTGGCAGGATGACCCAAGTCAAACATCCATGTTGTTTATCTGTTGTTTAACGCTGCACCCACCAGGAGGAGTGTCTCCAGGGTGTCCTCCCACTTTGCCAGTTTCATTGTCAAGCAATTAATCAAAGTTAATGGTGCAACAAAGGGGATTAGTTTGCTGGTGTTGATGGTTGCCGGACAACCAGTCTTACAGCATCTCCAGTGAACGCTGTTTCCTAATTCCTCATCCTTATATACACTAAACTCTGCCACCACGACCATTGGGCATGAACCTAACATCTACTTGAACATTTGCCATCTTGCGATATCTGACAAACGACAGTGGTTCCATATTTATATATTGTACAGAGTGAAAAGAGTTCATCTGTCAGTTTTGATATAAATTTGATAATTGAAGCCGCAAATTGTGAACACTTATTGACTAAAATTGTACTGCATGTGGTGAACACAGCGCATGGCTCACCACGCCCCAGAAACTGGCAATAACCAGCCAGTCATGAACTTGCTAATTAGGGTGTTAATTATTATCTGATATTCGATAACTGTGGTTGGATTACCTACTGGCAAAGGGGGAGTAAATCGTCTCCATATGTACTTACCTAAGAGCCCCAGGTGACACCAGATGATGCGAGCCTCCAGCCTCTCCCTGTAGGCCATCACCGCCCCACACAGTGGGGGTATGATCATCATCAAGTTACTGATGGTGTTCCCTGAAACATTTCATCAATAGGAGATGAAGTCACAGCGTACTCATTGGCAGATCCAGAGGGGGGGTTCAGGGCGTTCGACACCCCCCCACCCCCCTTTGAAAATGACAAAAGACCACATTGAAGATTTTTTTTGCGTTGGTGGAGCCAAATGGGGGGTTCAGGGGGTTCGAACGCCCTGAACCCCCCTCTTTTCAAAATTCCTGGATCCGCCCATGGTACTGGTATACTCTACACATATTGGCATTGCAGCTGCCCAGTTCAACAGACTATCATGACTTCTGACAGTTAAAGGCACAATGTCACGCTTTTACAACAATATTTTGGCCTATATCATACATACTGCGGCATATGCACTCACCTTAGCTTTCTATTGATGCAATAAAAGACTTATTATCCCTTACGACTTGCCTGAATAGATAATTGAAACTTGGAGGCAAACAGCTTCTTAACAGTGAACACTTGCCACATATGAAACGTAAACAATTGTTCCATACATTGAAAACTGTTGCTCGTGGTGTTGTCAGTGTTCCCTGAACTGGTTTCAATCACAAGTTGTGCGTATGTTTTGTCTAGTACTGAGTTCTGTCTCCAAAGGAGTTATAGGATATTCGTAAACAGCACTCCAAGGGACATAACTCTATGGGGTTCACTTGAAATAATGTTCGGTTGATAGAGGGCGCGAGAGTTGATTTAATGCAACATTGCATTAATTCATACAAACTTTATAATTTAATATGGTAGCATAAATACATAATTTCTTTTGGACTATTTTATATGGTAGCTTCCCTGTGGGCTGATAGTAAGTATTATTGAGAGAAATGCATTATTATTTTTAGAGAAGTGAAGTGTGAAATTGAGTCTTTAAGTTTGCAGTTACTTTGAGACCTTTTCAGACATTTTAAAAATACAAAGAGAAATTGTAACCCATGAAGATCCGTATTAGAATCAGTCTCTAGCATCAAATGCTTATAAGATTTTTCAAAAACTAGAGAAATTGTAGCCCATGAACATCTGGATTAGAATTGGTCACTAGCATCATAGGCTTATCATAAAAGGCAACTAATAGAACCAGGTCGTCAGAATTGCTGACTAAACTTTATACATGTCATTGTATCCGGTTTGATTAGATTGATGCTCAGGTTGTCAGTCATTGAATGACCTGGTCCAGATTCTACTATTTACAAGTTGTCGTTTAAGCTTTAATGCTGCCCGTTCAGCATAAAATGACAAACATATAAAATTGTATTTAGAAACTGCATGTGTCTTTTGAAAGCCAGTAAATTTGACTTTAATGAATTCAGTTCACAAATACAGTGTTCAACAAAAATCATCAGTATCATATCACCTGAAGTTGAGGAACTAAAGGGAAATACTACAACACTGTTAGAATGTACAGATTTATCATTGTTCTCAGTGGTCAATACTTGGGTTTCATTTGTACTTTGTACACATGTCAAAGTGTTCTAGCTGATGCTATATCTGCTTCACTGACTCCTAGCAACATATATATACATATCCATTACACAGCCATAACACATGACTAGAGATCAGTGAGCTGACGAAAAAGTGAGTTGATGTATATCTTTATTCCTCAGTCTTCCACGTCAACATGTACGCAGGTCACGATTGTCTAGTTTTATACTTGGGAAATGGTTTCAGCCACAAGTAGGATGTATTTTCTTTTCTCTGTATTTCCTGGTCATCCTGAATTTTCTATTCTGATGTGAAATATTAAAAGCTGTTCTTACCTCACTCTTCCCAGCCACTAAAGAAATTTTACACCTTTCACAATCACAAAAAATACCACCTAATATATGTAAATAATTCATTCAAGAGCTATTACAAACCTATTTAAATTATAAAATTTCCTGTAATAAGTAACACAATTAGTGAAAAACATTATATTTTCATTATTTTTTTGTCGGGGGTGTGGTGGGGTGTTAAAATTGGAGATAAAAAACATGTGTACTAAACACCTGATTGACATAAGGACAACATGGCATCTCATCACAATCCACAGATCACTGCTCATGTCTTCAGTCACTGGATTGTCTGGTCCAGACTCCACTATTCAGGCCATCATGACATTTGGTTTATCTTCAAAACAGGATATATTCCAACTCACTGACAGAAGTAAATGATCAAGTTTGACCCAGACATACTTGTGACAGGAGGTATGAGCAATGTCCCAGGTCATGAGATCACACATCATCAGCCATGTCATTATCACTTAGTCAAGTAACGATGACAAATGGCTAAATGACAGTGGTCTGTAAATGATCAAATACCATGTAGCCCTGTACCACGGCTGTGGAATATATGTACAGTAAACTACAGCAAAAAAGTAATCAAAAGGGACAACAAATTTAGCTCGCTGTTACCATAGTTCTGTATGTCCATTTTAACTTTAACTTACAGCAAGAAGCAGGTACAAATATTCATATCTGTTATATCCGTTGTTATATCCTTTATTTTGGTTTCATGTTCAGACAAGCAAAAGCTGCTTGTCTGTTTTAACCCAGAATCACTAATGGTCAAAATCATATGCTAACTATTTTGTAAACACTTTTTTTTGTAAAATATTTTCCGTACTGCATGGATACTCACATCAAGTCATTATTCATGAGCTCCTAACACAGATTAACATCACAATGTTATATAGGCCTCTGTGGGAGTGTTCAGTTACCAGCTGCAGAACGAAACTGCTTGTTTCCTACCCATTAGACTCTTGCACAAGGCTGCTGCAATTGTTTATCCTATCAAAGAATGGCATCCCTTACAAACTTGGAATTCTTGTATACAGATTTTCAAGTTCACACTTCATGTGAATTCCTTGTGTAGTTTTTCATGTTTGGGTAGAAACTTCAAATGGGTTAGCCTTGAGGTTTAAGCATTTGCTCATGACATTGAAGGTCTGGGTTTGACTCCACACATGGGTAAATTGTGTAAAGCCTATTTCTGGTGTTCCCTGCTATGATTTTGCTCAAAATATAACTAAACATGTGATAAAACCACATTCACACACTCACTACTTCACACATTCCATAGCTTGATTGACGTTACATAGTTTAATATAAACATTATCATAGAGTGAACAATTCTTAGTTTACTTTTGAATAAACATTGAATTATGTCAAGATAAGTATATTTCGGTATATCACAACCAAATAATGAGTGAACTGCTTCAGAAAGTTAGTTTATATGCCACAATAAACTGTTTTATCTAACATCTAAATAGAGTTAGAGTGGATGCATCTTTTATTTTGAATAATAAATGAATTTTCTATTCAGTGCACATGTAACAACTAACTGTCCATAGACATACAGTACCAGAACGGTGTTCTTGTTATGACAGCATGTAAGGTTAACATAATGCCCAACATCATGCATGTCTCTGACATGGGCCATTTTGGGGAAACCTATGGGGGCCAGTTTGGGGAAACCTATGGGGGCCAGTTTGGGGAAACCTATGGGGGACAGTTTGGGAAAACCATATGAGGGCCAGTTTGGGGAAACCTATGGGGGCCAGTTTGGGGAAACCTATGGGGGCCAGTTTGGGGAAACCATATGGGGCCAGTTTGGTGAAACCTATTGGGGCCAGTTTGGTGAAACCTATTGGGGCCAGTTTGGTGAAACCTATGGGGGCCAGTTTGGTGAAACCTATGGGGGCCAGGTTGAAGAAACCTATGGGGGCCAGGTTGGAGAAACCTATGGGAGCCAGTTTGGTGAAACCTATGGGGGCCAGGTTGGTGAAACCTATGGGGGCCAGTTTGGTGAAACCTGTGGGGGCCAGGTTGGAGAAACCTATGGGGTCAAGGTTGGTGAAACCTATGGCGGCCAGTTTGGGAAACCTATGGGGGCCAGGGTGAAACCTATGGGGGCCAGGTTGGTGAAACCTATGGGAGCCAGTTTGGGGAAACCAATGGGGGCCAGTTTAGGGAAACCTATGGGGGCAAGCTTGGTGAAATCTATGGGGTCCAGGTTGGTGAAACCTATGGCGGCCAGTTTGGTGAAACCTATGGGGGCCAGTTTAGGGAAACCTATGGGGGCCAGGTTGGAGAAACCTATGGGGTCAAGGTTGGTGAAACCTATGGCGGCCAGTTTGGTGAAACCTATGGGGGCCAGGTTGGAGAAACCTATGGCGGCCAGTTTGGTGAAACCTATGGGGCCAGTTTGGTGAAACCTATGGGGGCCAGCTTGGTGAAACCTATGGGGGCAAGCTTGGTGAAACCTATGGGGGCCAGTTTGGTGAAACCTATGGGGGCCAGCTTGGTGAAACCTATGGGGCCAGTTTGAAACCTATGGGGCCAGTTTGGTGAAACCTGTGGGGCCAGGTTGGAGAAACCTATGGGGGCCAGGTTGGTGAAACCTATGGGAGCCAGTTTGGGGAAACCTTTGGGGGCCAGTTTAGGGAAACCTATGGGGGCCAGTTAAGGGAAACCTATGGGGGCAAGCTTGGTGAAACCTATGCGGGCCAGGTTGGAAGAAACCTATGGGGTCCAGGTTGGTGAAACCTATGGGAGCCAGTTTGGTGAAACCTATGGGGGCCAGTTAGGTGAAACCTATGGGGGACAGTTTGGTGAAACCTATGGGGGCCAGGTTGGAGAAACCTATGGGGGCCAGTTTGGTGAAACCTATGGGAGCCAGTTTGGTGAAACCTATGGGGCCAGTTTGGTGAAACCTATGGGGGCCAGATTGGTGAAACCTATGGGGGCCAGTTTGGTGAAACCTATGGGGGCCAGGTTGGAGAAACCTATGGGGGCCAGTTTGGTGAAACCTATGGTGAAACCTATGGGGGCCAGTTTGGTGAAACCTATGGGGGCCAGTTTGGTGAAACCAATTGCAGCCAGTTTGGTGAAACCAATGGGGGCCAGCTTGGTGAAACCTATGGGGGACAGTTCAGTGAAGCCTATGGGAGCCAGGTTGGTGAAACCTATCTGGGCCAGGCTGGTGAAACCTATGAGGGCCAGGTTGGTGCTGATGAAACCATGATCGTGGAGAACCAGGATCAAAACCAGGATCATAAGAATCTAGCGTGCCCCTGGAACAGAGTTCTGCACAGATGTGCCCCTACATGAAGCAGGTATGTTAAAACACTATGAATACAGTTAATTTCAACAGGAAATATAATGACAACACAAAAAGCATTTATTCTGGTCTGATGGAAGTTGAGGAACAACATAATAATGTGAGGGTTTTTGGAAAAGAAGTGGGCAGGATGAAAATCTGACAATACTTATAATATCAGCTTTTGGAAAATGTAAGTATTTTTTATTATGGCCTTATCCAATGTGCAAAATATTAACATATTATTGACTTACTATCACACACATACAAATATGTACATACATATACCAAATATATACCAAATTATATATTGCCCTTAACCATTGGTTTCAATCATGCTCAAGTACATAACTCATACAAGTATGAATGAAAAAACATAAACCAGGTAAACTAGTGAGCAGCATCTGAATATATATTGTATGTGATCTGCATTGTATGCACAATCTCACTGTCAGGTACGATGTCACACAGTGGTGTGAAGCATAGTAATCACACAGGCTCATGTACATCAAATATTTCTAAGTTCATGTTGTGTTTCACAAAGCATCACTGCATTTGTATCTTAATCTTCAGAATTTAGAGCAATGTGTGTTCTTGAAAATTCAGATATGTGTTGAAACATTCTGTATTTGTGTAGAAGGTTGTGGGTTGCAGTGCAGAGGTTCAAGGTTCTACAGTCCTCCTGCCGCTTTCTTTTGCATATTGAATCATGACATCGCCCCTCTAACAAAATAATTGTTTATGTAAAGTGCTTACAAATAGACTTAAAAAGGTCATTTTCAAGTTGAATAAGTTGCAAGGTTTCTATTTGATACAGAAAATAATTACATATGTATTATACTGTACCATTTACTGCATTGTACTCCCAGTACAGGTAACAGCTAAAAATAGCTTTTCCATTTGAAAAACAGGTTGCAGGGCAAAGATTAGTCTGCCGTACAGACCCTGAAACAAATATATCCAGAAAGTCCATGCAAGTCTAGAATATGTGGCAAGTCTAGATTTCCACAAAAAATGAAGAAAGTCTCAGGGCTCCTTTTCATAATATTTTATATTTTTTTATTATGAACAGTTTTATCTGTAAAATATGTTCATTTCAGAGACTAGTTGTTAGGCTAGGCAAAGAGAGCAGGGAACAAGTCTACCATGGTGTTTACATATGGTGTAATATATAACCAACTTTGATTCAAGTAGTTGATATTAACAAATTTGTGGTTGATATTAACAAATTCAGGGTTTTTAAAAACCTAAATAGGTTTATTCAGGAGTTGATGGCATTCAGAAGCAAATGAATTACCCTTCAAAGTCTTAGGAAACAAATTAGGTCATACTGAGCCATGGCATCATCATGGAACTTCTAATCACTATGCACACTGAAGCTTGATCTGTGTGGACACAAAGATATCCCTGTGTGTGTATCTGTCTGTCTTTGTGTGTATACATTCGTAAGTGTCTCTGTGTGTTTGTTCTTCAACACAGCACTCAGCATTAATACAGATGTCACTATTGTCAGCATGCAAATAATCAAATCTGGAACAGACGATCCAGTGATCAGTAAAGTGAGCAATTAGCAGAGTCATCAGATTACAATGGCATGCTTTAAAACAAGCTGATTTCTATTTGGTCACCTCTGACAACTAGCATAGGTTGCTGGAGACTAGGTCTATCCCAGATTCCACACCCACCACAAAAACATAAATCCTCACTAGTACTGCTGTCAATGAGTAGGAAGTATGTTATTATGTATATGAATAGTAAGTATGCTTAGTGACATTAACATCATGTGCAGCGGTATTTAGACAGACAGCTAGCTATTATATGTGGCAAAAGGCCAGCGCTCAACATGCATACAATAGCAGCATCACAACTTTCACAATGAAAATTTACTCCATGAGAACAGGCTTGTAATTATGTATTTCAGGATAGTTTTACATCCACTTCTCATATAAAATATATGCTACGACAGTACAGAGAGCTTAAACAGCATATCCACCTCATCAACTGTCAGTAGGGCATTACATGTTTCATGAAATGATTCACTGACAAAGAATTGAGACATTTCTCCATTTCTTACACAGGCATATTCAGGGCATCTTAATAATACAAGACATTCCTGTTCATTGTGGAGTTTAAACTATAAACAGGCTAGGTTTTCAATACTAAGAGTCTTTGAAAATACTGCTTCTCAAATGTTGGGATCATGTACATCTAGTGAGTGAGTGAGTGAGTTTGGTTCCATGCAGCAATTTAGCAATATTCCAGCAATATCATGGCGGGGACAACCAGAAATGGGATCACACAATGAACCCATGTAGGGAATCGAACCCGAGTCGTCGGCATCACGAGCAAACACTTTAACCACTAGGCTACCCCACTGCCCACATTACATCTAATTTAGGCCTTAGTATTTAACTGACACAAGACATCTCTAAAGGGGAATATATTTATTTAAATCTGTCCAAAATACAAGGCTATCAAACCGACACATTCCTTTGTCAGAATATGCAAAAATCAGACCATACAAAATAACATCCCAGTCATGTGTAATTCTACACAGCTGAACCTCAATTAACCGGACACTTGTTTTTCCTCACATCTTATCTGGATAAATGGACTTCCGGATATCTGAATCTCAACAATTGTCCCCCTTACCCACATTCTATAGAAGCAAAGTTAACCCTCTATTGTACAATGCTAAGCATAAAACATTGAGAGCATTTTGCGAAGTCAAAATCTACATCGTATCTCAGTGAAATGAGGTGAAAACAATAGTGTAGATACATAGATCTTCCATATTCACAGTACTAAACTATGCAGCACAAAACCCAACTAACTCACTCACTCTGACATCCTTTGTATCCCTACATCCTTTGACAACACTATAAAACACAGAAGTAATAAAGAAAATGAAAAAGGAAAGGTTCATTTTCACAAACTGCTGCCTGTTATCATGTGTTATCACTCAGTTCCCATCTAGAGTGATGTCAGATATGGTCTGTAGGGCAGTGAGATATAGGCACAGGATCTATGGAACTATTCAAACCTAGTAGTTGTTGTACAATGATGTACCTTATATACTGCAGCAATAATACTAATCTATGAAATCACTATTAATTACTAGATTATTACTGCATTATTCATGTCGACTAAGCACACATGATGACCTGTATTCATGGAGAAAATATTCCAAACAAATACTTGTTGACAGACATATATTGATTTAGGAAACAACAATAGTGCCGCTAGTCTTGTCCGTTTTGCAAACTACTAAATCTTACCGGATTGGATAAATCAAAATATCAGCTGTAAGAAAACCACTGACTCGGGCAAAATTGGAATATTATAATGTGTATGATACTCACAAAATTCAGCGATGAAGGGAAGCACGACATAATTTTCTTCACACCAGTCCAGTGTCGAAGTGACAGGTCCCCAATACCCATCCGTTGGGGCCATGTTTGATTGTGGAAATGGCAACGCGATCGATAGTAGCTTGCGAGTGGACCCTTCCCGTACTAGCACGATTCGACTCGGAACACGGTCAGTGGGACTGCGTGCGGTTGTATTCGCTTACACACCGAATGGCGCATAACCGAATACCTGCTTGAGGTATAAATAAATTTACCTCCGGGACTGCAGATATGACATTTGATCCATTCATATATGATGTCATCACATTTATGATTAAAATTATTGTTTCCACTGTAACGTACTGTCGGAATCGTATATTATACTAATAATACTGTAATGCGAATTGCCCCGAATCCACTTAGTGACAAGTCCTTTTATTTAATGGATGAGGGAGGTTAGGAGAAGGGACTATTCGCTGACTCCATATTTTATTAAACTATCATTCCAAAATAAAACACCACGATATAGTTGCGAGAATTTAAAACTGGTTCTCCACTCCCTCTTTTGGCTGTTCCATTATACGCCATTTCTCAGATAGGTAAGTAAGTAACCATAGACTCTGAAACTGGTCTCTGCAGTAACTGATGTAGGATGTGTGTACGAAGTGTTCAACCGTCTTCTCCACGGGGACCGGCCAAAAGTCCCTCATGACAAAAGCCCCTTGGTACAAAAGCCCCTCGACCAAAAGCCCCTCGCTAATTTGAGCATCCCTGTAAAAAGCCCCTCGATTCATGTATTTCATAAAAAGAATAAACATTTCTCATTGCTCTTTTATATTTTATAACGTATTTTAAGTATTTTATCATACCAGTCTAAAGGAAATGGAGCTAATTTGCTCAAGTATGAGCGAGGTGTATATATATTTCTGTGAAAAACATTTTACTAAAACTTGATCATGGAGTTAATACGCCGCCTCAAAAAGCTGTGCTTTGAAACAGAACGCTGTCAGTTCTACTGAGGACTTTCTTTCCACCACAGGCCACAACATTAGGTTGTGATGATTCGTTTAATTATTACTTATTATGTAAAACAATTTTTCGAGTCATTAATAATTTCTTGTTGATGTGTTTTCATTTGTTTGATGATATATATTTCTTATTCACTAAAATTATTTGCTAATTACATATTAATTTATATAGTAATTAGGGTCTTTATTTTATGAAGCAATAAAATGTTTCATGTTATTGATCATTTCTTGTCTTTAATCTTATTTTCCCATTAATACGTATAGTGGGGGGCTTTTGGTCATTTTTCAAGGGGCTTTTGTCCTGGGGGGCTTTTAGTCGAGGGGCTTTTGTACCAAGGGGCTTTTGACCTAGACCCACATGTGATTCCTAGTTCTCCTTTCATTTCTTGATTTTATAAATCTATTTTCCTTCAAGATTCACGTAGGTCATTTCATTATGCACACACCTTTATTAGTGTATTTAAATCAGTGTTAATGAAAAGCAGGTCAAATGTGCTGTATTGTACACTAATGTTGTCGACTACCAGCACATTCCCCGTGAAAATTGCTGAGAGAAAATGTCTCCTCCATCCCAAGCTTGTCGATGGCGAGGATAATTTGCTATACAACAAGATGCACTTTCCTGTGTACATTGAAAGATTAGACCATATATGGTGAAGGGTATGTGGCAGTTTCACCAAGTGTCAATGGTCTGTCGTGTTAAGGATAAGTTGAACCTGTATACACATACGCCACATTTCAGGCACATAATGGGGCGATGGGGTAGCCTAGTGGTTAAAGCGTCCGATCACTGGTCACGCTGAAGACCCGATTTCGATTCCCTACGTGGATACATTGTGTGGAGCTTGTTTCTGGTGTCCCGTGGTGATGTTGCTAGAATATTGCTAAAAGCGGTGTAAAACCATACTCAGCTTACTCACTCACTCACTCTGGGACGTCGTATTTTGGACAGAATGGTGATCTGTCAGCTATCTGTTACAACAACAAGGCCTGTGGTTACAGACATGTGTGAGCCTCCATGCCCCATTATCCCATTGCATCATCGGGTATAGGACACGCGGCAGGTGGTAATGTCGGGGTCATGTGTCTGTTTCCACCAACAATGCACCGATTAGCTCATCAAACTCTGCCATATGTTAAGTAAGTGTGGAGGCGAGTGGTGGTGGCGTGGAGAGAGAGAGAGAGAGAGAGAGAGAGAGAGAGAGAGAGAGAGAGAGAGAGAGAGAGAGAGAGAGAGAGAGAGAGAGAGAGAGAGAGAGAGAGAGAGAGAGAGAGAGAGAGAGAGAGAGAGAGAGAGAGAGATTTGTTTTTCTTGTCATTTAGGCATTGTCTTCAAGTTTACGTTATTTAGACATTCTCCTAAGCTATTTGTGTTATTTAAACATTGTCTTCAGGTTTTCACCAATACGCCTCGCCTCACTCGCTCATTTTACGTGTTGCTGGTCCTTCATTTTGCATCATGGCAAAGCTGCTTAGCTGTAGCCTATATAAACCCACTCGGTGATAACGTAAATTTAGCGATGCGGGTACAGACTAGTCAGGCACAATTTACTTCTGTGCTTGAAGTCGCATGCCCTTATACTAGTAGACCATAAAATGAATTAATCCTTCAGCTATAATGTATTTATAACGTGTATAGTTGTTGTAATGACTGCTTATCAGACTATATTTAACGAACGCCATGACACGTTTCAAGGAAATGTAATGTGTTAACAGGTGGTCGAGGTAAGACCCGGATGTTCAGTGAGTTTATAACGATCGAATCGCCACGGGCCTTGCATCAACACAGCAGGATTTGATACATACAGTACAACCAGAAAGTATTTATTGAGAATTTAAAGATTGTAATTTTCGGACTGTACTTTGGGCGCTGATACAAAGGTTTTTTCAGTTTGTTTGGTCCAGAATTTCAGTGTATTAGGGAACAGCCACACTGAACTTTCATCTGAGAAAATCACATTGTCCCAGTTAAAATTTCTATGCTGTAAGCACCAGTTCAACCTTCGCTCCTTTTGTTCAGGTTTCATGATCGGTGATGGAATTCCTCGACTTTTCTGCCAACCCATTGCATGCAGCTCAGTTCTAATTGTCTCCTTACAGACAGCCACAGTTCCTCTATCAATCATATCCAACCTTAAGTTTTCTAAACTCCTTCGTTTGTTTTTAGAAACAAGAATACCAAGCCGCCTCCTGTCACCGACAGTCAATTTTCTGGGCCTACCTGCGCCTCCTTGGTGCTCAATGCCATTTCCATTTGCAATATTTTTCAAAACACGATAAACAGTGGACAAAGGGATGCCTGTTCTACTTGAAATCACTTTAGCTGATCTCATGTCCTTGTTATAATACTCTAAAATCAACTTCCACTTCTCTAAATCATCCATACTGAGGATCACTGAAAATGTCGTCTGCTAGCAAGTAAACAAAGGGGGATAACTCTTCACAAACTAATGAAAAAGGATTAACGGAGTCGTCTCTCTTGAGTGAAACCAAACACTTGATAGCTGGTCAAGGTTGTTTATACTAAAAATCCCCCAATTAAACATATTCCTAAAATTCTCAATAATTTCTGGTCATACTATATCTTGTAGTATGTCACGATATATATTATTTGTCAAACATGCGGTAATTTTTAAACGAAGGGGCATCGGATAGCCTTATGGTTAAGTTGTTGCCCCGACCGGTGAACATGGGCCGGGTTTGATTCTGATGTAAAGTCAGTCGTCGTAAGTGCAACGTTGATTTGTTTTGTTTGACACAAACGTCGAAAAAAACTCACCCCTCACCTTTTCTAACACATTCAGAAATATACTGAAACAGACATAGTATAGGCTTTATATAGATTTCTCGTTATGGGTGCTTTATACACTATAGATGAGAACTGGTCTTTACAATAAATACAAAAAGTAACAAAAAAACTAAATTCAGGATGCGCGTATGCATGCGTAGATAACGTCTTGTTTATGGGCCGGTGAGTTTAGTGAAATACACGAACCTGACACAAAAATGTACAATGCGTACATTGTTTCTGTTTAAAAACGGGCCGCGAGTGGTATAGGTGGCCAAGAAAGCGCCGAAATGGGCTGTCAGTGTCGCATTCATTTACTCTGTCTCACAGTTCCTGAACCATATCGTTTCACCTTCCACCGAGCCATTACTGTAATGCAAACGTCATAAATTTCCTGCGCCACTTGGACTCCTTTACCATTTAAATAAAGCATATTCGGTCTACCTCTCAGTGGCCTATATCCTCCCACAGTAAATCAGCACGTCGTGATGTTGCCCCTCAATTACTCAAGCATTCATGCGGGAGACAATTTAGTTATTTCTCCTGTCTACTTCCAAGGCATGTGAATGTTCTTACAGTATAATAACATCGCTCTTAATTTCATTTCAAAATCTAAATTCCTTGATGATCTAACACCGCTTGTGCAAGATTATCTCTAATTATCTCCAAACGAGGTAAGCGAGGGCGTGCTATCACTGCTGGAGGGGTTACCGATCCGTCGAATTTCTGATTTCAGAGTAGTAAAATGCATTCGACGGATCGGCACTGTGATCTTAGCTATGAATTGGTTATAAAATTGGATCATACCAAAACAAAAGACACAAGGGGTGTTGGATGGTTTGACTCTCTATATTTTTGTACTTTTGTACAGTATATACCTTTGCCTGCTCTTATGATACAATGAGATATTGATGCATTAAATATATGTTTGGACTCTCTAGGCCGTAATCCTGCAGGAGAGTCCCTTTAGGGGTCAGACTGACCTTCATTCAGTATATGTTACATTTACATCCTCTGTTGTTACGCGATTTCATTTATTCTTCTGAACTTAATTATGCCAAACCCCTATAGAATCTCTTGAAATATTTCCATCATCACTGACATCGTCCCCGCTGTCATCACCCGCATCATCACAGATATGGCCACAGGTATCATCACCGATGTCACCACCAGCATCATTTCCACCGATGTCATCACCTCCATTATTTCAAACTATTTCATCGCTACCACCACCACTATTATCATCGATATCATTACCATAATCATCACCGATATCATTACCATAATCATCACCGATATCATTACCATAATCATCATCGATATCATTACCATAATCATCACCGATATCATT